CAAACCATCTGAATGTGGGAACCAATTAGGAGGCCTGGGCATCTGTGGGTTCTCTAACAGTGGAACCAGTATTTATCCCTAATGCACAAATGGACTTCAGGATCCTATTCCCTAGAAGTGATACTATTTCACTCCAGATACACAGAGGAGGACCTGGGCCCTCCCCCAAATGATGTGACAGACTTTGCTGATCCCCCATGGGGGCCTCACCATATTTGGGGAGTGGATAGGGGGTGGGTTGTGGATAGTTAGGGGGCCTGGCAGGATGGGAGTGAGAGGGGATGGGGGTTTGATATGTAAGATGATTGTAAATTATTAGCTAAAAATAGATAAAAAAGAAAAATTGTGAAGTATACAAAATAAAAAAACTTGCACACATCATCCATGTGTTACCTCTATGGTTGTAAATGTGATGCTTATGTAGTTGTCATGCTGTGTTGCTTAGGAAGTAAAAGAAATATCTTTTACATTAGAAGTACAGACCTTAAAAACTATTTTCACATACAGTTGGTTGAATCCACAGATGTAGAACCTGCAGGCATGGAACTAACTGTATCAGGCCTTGATGTCACATGAGACAGACATCAAATTCAAAGCAGCTGTTTATCATCTCATAAACCCAATGGATAAATAAGAGGTTGGGAAATTTCAATGCCTGTGACAATCACTAGGGTCTCTCATGTTCAGCCCCATTTAAAGAGATGAAATAAGCAATGGCAGAAAATCTAAACCAAACAATTTTTAAGATCTGTGAATGGCCTAAGAGACTTGCAAAATAAACGTCATCCTCTTAAGCCTGACCAACTGACAAAGTTGAAATAAGTCTCAAACCCCACTCCAGCAACTAGGGATGGGAATCACTCCAGACCATTAGAAAACAGCCTGGCAGCCTGTTTTCAAACTAAAAAGTAAGAACCTTCCATTTGATCTTGCCTGAGATTTTGCCTCCAATAACACCATGTGAAATCTCAGGCACAAGGATATTTGCACAGTGTTATTTGTGCAACCTAATCCCAAGTCCAATGTGGATGTGTGTCTGTAGAGGAAGCATGGTAGGAAGATTTGTCCTGTGCCAGTTGCAAATGGGTTTGTACGCTGGTATCCAAGGGCGAAAAGCAACTTTTTTAGGCTGCACCTATGGGTGAGAGCGATCATTTTTCAGAATTAATGATCTGATTTTGTAGATTTTTTACTTATACTATACATAGGAAGAAATCAGATAATTACGCGGATGACTTAGATGGTAGAGGAAAGAAGAAAAGGAGATGAGAAAAGGTCCATGCATTTTTTTAACATGCTGGAGACAAAAGTATATACAAAGAAATGAGGAATTGAGAAGAGAAAGAAAGAAGCAAAGGAGAGGGATGACAAAAGAGAAAAATTTGAACAGGCATTTAAAGTGCTGTCTGCAGTAACTACAGCGTATGATCATCTATGCATGTGCACACATGCTTGTGTGTTTGAGAACATGTGTGCATGTGCATAAAAATTGTACAAAGAAAAGTGCCAGGAAAGACAACAGTAACTTTGTAAGACTGATTTTAGAGATTCTTCATAATTTGCTTCATACTGTATTGTATTTTATTTTTTCTCTCAGCAAATATGTTATTTATATAATCAACAGGGGAAAAGCAAAAATCTGGTTTTGCCTATGAAAATAACTCATTCATCACCCCAATAGTCTTTGTCTATTAACATTCTGTGCAAGGGTTCATCAGGGATAGAGTTCTGCTATAAAACAAAACCAAAAAAATTACAAACCTGAACAAAGTATCTGCAGAACACTCAAGGGACCCTCAACTCAATACCACCCTTGTCTCTAAACCCATGGAACTCCAGAGTAGAGATTGCTGTCTCTGTCTGTAGCAGGTGAGGAGGGAGTTGATATTTATAAAGTTAAATAATAGAAAAATACTTGTGGAATTAAAACACATGGTAAGTTACAATGTACAGGTAAAACATTGGTAGGCACAGACTGTGTCCAGGTCAGATTATTTTACTGGGTTCAGGCAACGTTTCTAAACTGTATTTCAAATCCATTCAGAGAGTGGTTGGATACCCCACCCAATAACAGTCTTGCCACAATTTCACTGCCCCACCGTGCTTATCCAAATAATCATAATTAAACTCAGTGGATAAAACAAACAAAAAACGGTAAGAGGGGCTCTTAGGAAAAAGAGTAGTTTGAGGGCGGATATATAAGAGAGGAGTGGGTGAATATGATCAAAATACATTGTGTGTGTGGTGTGTGTGTGTGTGTGTGTGTGTGTGTGTGTATGCGCGCACATGCCTGAAATTTCAAAGAATAAAGTTCTAAAATGAATTTTATTAGCAGAATCAGGAGATTTCACATTTTTAAATTTTGGATATCAGCATACGTGTGCTTTGTTATCATTTTGTTCGTTGCAGAATATACAGTCTTTTCAACAACTGACCCCCTTTCTTGTGTGGAAATCAGCCAGCTAAACCCATAGTGGCTGGCTGCCCCAGCTCTGACAGAACATTGAATTTCTGCTGCCATATTTTACATTTTTCCTTGGATCTTTATCATGACAGCTTTCTGGCATCTGCCTGGCACTTGCCATTCTAGGTGGCTTCCTCAATGACTGTAGCACAAGGACAAGGACCCCCAGGAAATGACCCTGGGCTGCCCTCTGATGGCCCTGACAATAACTAGGCCTAGGACCTGCTAGGTACTGTACCCAGGACAGGTGGATTCAACTGCTCAGGCTATCCAGGATCTCCAGATTCTAGAGGACCCATTCATAAACCCCTGAGCTCTACAATCAAGGCTCAAGCCAGAGTCACACGTTAAACTTTAGATTACCCAAGGTCACAGTGTGTACAGTGGGATTTGGGAAGGTAGTGCCTTCATGAATGAGATCATTGTCCTCATCAAGGTAGTCTCAGAACGCTGTCCCACTTTCCATCTCATGGAGTCATATACAGAAGATAGGGACATTTAAATGAAGAACTGAATTCTGCCAACTTGCAATACAAACAAAGTGACTAAATCTAAAATACAAGATACAGAATTACAATTTGGGACTCATGGTGACATAGTGGTTGCTGGTGGTTCCAGGAGATAAAAGAAACCTTAGGGTTTCACTGAATTAAGAATAAGATACAGAACCTGCTTTGAAAGAAAGTTCATTGGCCTTTCCAGTGTCTTCCAAGAGCTGGCAAGTCCAGATTGGTGACTGTCACTAGTTGCTAGGTAAGATTCATAGTCTTGTCGTTATGATTAGAATTGGACTAAGTTTTTTTTAAGGCGTACACAGTCTGAGCACCTATTTCTACGTCCTTGTGACTCTATTAGTTATAACACAAGTGATTCCATATTGTATGACTTTCACCAAAATATTAGCTCTCTAAGACTTCCTAGCCTCCAGCACAGTGAGCAGTTAATTTCTTTATGTCTCCTTGTTTGTGGTTTATAGTCTCACACATAGACTGAGACAAGTGCTGGGACAGCTAGCTGCACCCAGATCTGTGTTGCAGCTGGGTGCCCACTCCCAACACAGTAGGCCCCCTCTGCTAAACTCCCCTCTGAAGGAGCCTTGGGAGGAGAAACCACACCGACCTCTTCTCTCACTCCTAATTCTTCTTATCCATGGCCAGTGAGATGGTTTAGCAGGTAAAAAAATGCTTGACACAACGCCTGATGCTCTGGCTTTGGTCCTTAGGACCCACATGTGTAAGGAGAGAACTGACACCTGTGAGTTGTCCTTTGACCTCCATACATGCACCATGGTATGCACACACTCTAGACAAACAAATGTTAAAGTGTTCCTCCTACTAGCGCTGAAGAGTTGGCTTAGTAATTAAGAGCACTGGCTGCTCTTCCAAAGGTCTTGAGTTCAATTCCCAGCACCAACATGGTAGCTCATAACCATCTAATTCCAGTGCTAGAGAATCTGATATCTTTTTTAGAGTGGGCACTGATACTCAGATATTCATGCAGGTAAAACACCATTAAAAATTGTCATGAATTTTTTCCCTCCTATCCTGAGCCTCCCCCCATGGAGGAATTAATCGAGGGCTGGCTGAAGCAAAGCCTGCACTGGTCTCCCAACCATTGCCTGTCAGTGTGGTCTTGTCCTGTTTTCAGGATTCTTCTCCTGCCTCTAGTCTGTTGCTGCTTCCCACACTAACTCAGGCTGATGGCCACAGATGTGATGATGTGGTTCTAGAACATTCTCAGCCTTTTGATTCATGTGAGCTCTGATCATGACCCCAAGAACAGAAACCGCCTGGACTGCAGAACTTTGCCAGCTGAGTTTGCATTGCTCTTAGCACTGGCATTTATTGCAGTGGAGGAGAACTGACTTCTTTGCTGTACTGTCTATTGCTGTCATTGAACTGTGAAGAAGGAAGGAGGGAGAAAAAGACTCATGTGACTTACAGGGAAAACTGTGCACTTGAGGCTGAGTGCTTCCTGGAACATGCTCACACCCAGCCCAGCATTCTCTAGTCTCTGATTTCTTCCCATCACACCATAACAGTACCCGAGGCTATTTGAGACTGGAGTTATTTAATCCTGTGTAAATTTTGAAGTCACTATCAGGCATCTTCAGGTTGTGGTTTTAACATCTGACTTGCAGAAAAATGAGAGGCAGTTCACAGGTACACTTCTGCTAGCTTCCTGTGCCCTCTATGTATATACATAATAGACGTTTAAGGTCAGACTGGGATGGGGAAAGGCCATTGTGGTACAGGGAGAGACAGATACCCTACTGGGGGTGCTCAGATAATTCAAGGGAAAGTTCTTGTGAGGCCTGCTCTGATGAAATATATTTGAGAGTCAGAAATGAATGTCAAGCCAGGAGATAGGAGTCCTACCAAGACCAGGTGAGAATTTTCTAGCAGAAATTCATAGATCTGAGTACCTACAAAGGTGAAGAAGAAAGAAATAGTTCCAAACTGTGTTCTGAGGTAGAGAGGAAGACTAGGGGTACAATGTCTCCCAAGGACTCACCCACCGCTTTTATTTGTAACAGGTTCTGAGGGCCCCTCAGCCACTCATTCAATGAATACTGAATTCTGAGGACCTGTCACCCACCTAGCAGATGGCAATGGATTCAGGCAATGCAGGACTTGCTGAAGATTCTAACCTCCAGCTCATCATTTCTCAACCATCCCTGAAGACCAGTGCTTAATGGCCAGCAAAATAATTAATGTTCTTATTGGACTTGGTGAGTTGTGACATCCCTCTTGTCCTTTGAGCCTTATGGAAGCTATTTGTTTTAGAGCAAAGATATTAAATTCATGCCTGAGAGTATTAAAAGAAGACAAACGGCCTTGGATGAAATAAACTACTTCTCAAGGAACATTTTTCTTGAGCTGTTCCAACATCTTGTCATTTACAAAACATTTTGGGGTTTGAATTTTTTGTTTGTCTGATTTTTTTTTAATCTTTGAAATGAACTTCTTGCTGGTTTATAAACCACATCTTTCACAGTGTTGTCTGGACTTGGCAGAGCTGTCTGCTGTCCACCTTGAGTCCATTTCTTCTCACACGCAGCTCCTACCTTTACGAAACAAGGCAAAGGAAGTAACGATATCCTCATCCCTTTTAGCTCTGAAATTGAAGGATGCTGGGATTTTCCATCTCTCGTCTTTGTGCCTGTAGGTTACTGGCCACAGAATTAGAAGCTTCAGTATAAGCTGCAAGTAGAAATGAATTAGAAATTAGATTAGATTTAATTGGAAATTAAAGGATAAGCTTTTCTGAAGTGTGAGTTTCCATAGCACCCAGCTGGAGTGGACCATTTAGACCCATTTAAAGGACACGCATCTGTTCCAAGTTCTTCCTTGATTTAATTAAAAAATGAATGCCACAGACAGCATTCGTTAGGCAGTCCATATCATGTGCATATTAAGGTGCTGTGGAGCTTTCAGCTTTATTTAATAACCTAGAAATGGATGATGAAATTACACTTAATATTTCAGTCGGTGGTGGAGGAAGTGAGATCCAGCAAGCTTACTTCAAATTAGAAGCAAAATTGAAGACCATGAATCACTCTCAACGCAGGCACAAAGCATTTCCCTCCCATTTTCCATTTCACAACTCAAGTGCTTTTCAAGTTATGACTTTCTGATACAGAAATCCCTCATCCAAAGGATGAAGGGCTGCTCAAGCCAAAAGGATTGCAGTCCTTTGACCTGGCACCCTCTGTCACCACATGCCTGCCGAGCAACCTTCCTAGTCACTGGGTTGGTGATAGAAAGAACTTCTTCCAAAGACAAGTCAAGAGCCCATGTGTTCCTCTCTGGAATGGCTCAAGTATTTTCATAGTTCACATTTCTGGCCTTAGTTTGTGCCCCATTCATGAATTGATTCATTGGTAACCTTAAGGACATGTTTTCTGCTGGTCACCAAGAGCACTGAGAATTGGAACAGTCCCATCCCAGGAAGGAGCAGCTGAGTGTTCCCCACTGCAGGAAAGCTCTTCTCTTCCTTTCTGTCCCCAGTGCTCTTTACTCTCAGAGTCACCAGGAGTCCTGCAGAGCATTTTGGCCCCCTATCTACTTGTCCTGAGGCTGTCAAGACATCTTTATATTTATAGTGCCCAGGCAATAATCTGGCAAATGGCAAACATTACTGAATGAATGAAACACCAAGTATTTCCCAAAATAATGCAGTGTTTCAATTGGTTTAGAGGGTTGTTTTTTTTAAGGACACAGAGATGGGTCAGTGGAAGAAGGGTGTGAATTGGGGAAGAGTAGGGGGAGAGGATGAATTCAATCAAAACCCATTGTATAAAAGTCTCAAAGAATTAATAAAAATTTTAAAGTGAAAAATAATACTGAGACAGCTCAACAATTATTTGTGGGTCATCCATTCAACAGAAGACTTCAGGCCTGGTCTTGTAGGTCTGTGGTAGGTCTTGCTTAGCACAGATCTTGGGAGGTTCACTGGTCAACCAATCTAGCTGAAATGGTTAGTGCCAGGTTCATTGAGAGATCCTGCCTCAAAGAATTAGGTGAAGAGCAGTAGAGGAAGATATCTGAAATCATCTCGTCATCTCTGGCCTCCACAAATGTATGTTCAGGCAGCTGCAACTACACACACATGTGAACACACACCATACAACTATGTCTATCTATCTATCTATCTATCTATCTATCTATCTATCTATCTATATCTACCTCCAAACAGCAGCACCATATACATATGATTCACAATGTTTACAGGATCACTCTCAGTGACACAAACAAAAACAATGAAAAAAAGTCAGGAATTAAGGGTGCACTGTGAGATATGGAAAATCATTTAAATTGAGCGGTACTGTACTGTGAACACAAAATGTGCAACAGGCATGACAGAATGATGACATAAATATATAAAGTCAAACTTATTAGGTATGCAAAGGGCGAAACTAAAATTTCTCACATTGTCTATAATATTGCTGAGAATCGATAACCATTTCTTCAAGGACTTTAAAGCAATTTATCAGACCCATCATTACAGCAAACTTTAAATTATCTTCTAAAAAGGTTTTGACAGTGATTTGGTTGGCAGTGGTCTGAGGCTGATCATCAGACTGTGCTTGGGGAGCAGGGTAGGTGTTTATTGAGGCTGTGTGATTCCTGAGAATTTTGGGTGTTGGAGACTGGCAGAGAATGGAGTGGGCTGTGGACTTCTGTTTTGTAAAAGCTTTTTCTAAAGTCAGGCACTGGCACTGGCGCTTGGTTCTGGAGTCTGGAACTCAGTGCCTCTAGCATCAAACACATTCAACACATGATAGTAAGGATTTTGAGAACCTGAACTCATTGCTGCATCAGCAACCTCCATGTGTGTACACATGCATGCTCAAATACACATACATATGTGGTAAGCTTTGGTCTTTCAAGGATAGCATATTTTCAAATTAAAATTATTACATTTTTAAAACTTCACCCTAAATCTTAAGATTCAAATTGTTCATTGGAGAGACACATTTAGCATTGGGTGCAGTGAAGTTATAGATGTGGTATCAAGAATTCAATTGACTATTCTGTGATGCTCTTCCAGCTTCTTTCAGATAAAAGAAGGGAAATGTTATTGTATTTATATAATTGTCATGATTCATTACAGATTAAATTTTGAAATGTCATTGGCCTAGGAGAATGCTTACATCACAACTTGAAAGTAAAAAATTCACAAGCAACCTTTCCAGGATGTACGATATGAAATAGTAACGGGGAGCAGCATGGGTGTTTATATAGAGATAAGGAAAGGAAAAGTAGGTCCTTGAAGTTGGTTGCAGGATAGTGTCCTGGTGGTACTGGCAGCTTCTCTCTCTGCTGGTGGCATCTACTGACTACCTAAAATTAATAAAATATTAAAACACTTATTATTTACTTTATCACCAGCAAAGCCATTGATTTGGGGTTTGGGTGAGGTAAGTGGGGAGGAAATAATGCTAAAGAAACTATTTTTTATTGCTTCATAGCAGTTAATAGTATGGGCAGAATGATGCCTTGAGCTGCAGATGCTGGGCCACCACCCTACCTTCCTACTAGCTAAAACATCGGGTTCCACACAAGTCTCACAGCATATAGCCGTATCTGGCTGCAAGTTACAGAAACTCAACTGAAGCTAAATTTATGCTAACAAAGGTAGAGAGCAGGATATGTAGGCTCATGACTGAAAAGTTTGGATGCCATCAGTGGTACATCCAGGTGCCAGACAAACTGTCTTGTCGTCACTCACCTCTGTTGATTTCTTTCCTATATATTCATTTCAGTGTGGTTAGGCATGGACACCAGCAGATGACAAGTGAAGTCCAGAATGGACCCAGTGCTGACTGCAGAGATGATGGTGCGTGCAGCTGACCCCATATGGATGACTTGGGAAATCTCTAAGCCAGATGAAGATTCTGCTCTGTCAGATTCATGTGGACTAATATGCTGGCCAGCTGCTTCCTTGTAAATGTCACTGGGGGTTGGGCTTTGAGGTTTTAGAAACTCAAACCAGACCCACTGGCTCATTCACTCTTCCTGCTGCCTGCACATCCATATGTAGAACACTCAGCTATCTCTCTAGCACCATGACTACATGCATGCCACCATGCTCCCCACAATGATGACAATGGACTAACCTCTGAACTGTAAGTCAGTCCCAAATAAATATTTTCCTTATAAAAGTCGCAGTGGTCATGGTGTCTCTTCACAGCAATAGAAACCCTAACTAAGACAGGCGTAATTCTGAATTTTAAAACTCATCCTTATGCATACAGATAAGTGTAGGCCTCACCCCTCATCTAAGAAAATCCAGCAAACAGAGGCCATTACAGAAAACCACAACAGATCATTATGTAGAAACTCATGGGTCATGTGAAGTCCACCCCAAAGGATATATGTACAACACAATTTCACCATCAAAGGCTCAAGGTACATCTCTGAAAAGGGGCCAGAAAGACTGTAAGAGTCAGAGACTCAAGATGTTTAGTGTGAAGTTGTGTTTTCTAGAAATGACTGGGAAGCTATTTCCAGGATACCTCAAAATTATGGCTTCCTAAACTAGACGGCAATAATGATAGTATCAACAGACAAGATAATGTAGAAGAGGGAAATCTAGACAAAGAACTACAGGAATCTAATGACTGCTGAAAGAAGGAGATTTGGTCTCTCTCAGGGTTGGGCCCCCTAATTGGTTATCTAATACAAAGTAGACAGCCTTGAAACCATAATTGGTTATCTAATACAAAGTAGACAGCCTTGAAACCATATATACACAAGGCCCATTAAATGGGCTCAGTAGGTTTTACTTACATATTTATGTGGTCATATTTATGTGTGGATAGATAGATAGATAGATAGACAGACAGACAGACAGACAGACAGATAGATGATAGATACTTCATATGATGATGCTATAGTATTAACTCTTTTTTGGAAGCTGAATTTTATGTATATATTTTTTCTGTATTTTGTGATTTTATATAATGGGCACATAGTTCTTTCTAAATAATGATAAAACATAAAAAATATGTGGTGGCCATTTCTATGGCATGCTTACTTGTAGAAATACATTCTAATTGGCCCCAGGGCTCTGTCATTGGCAGTCAGAGCCTGGTGTCTTTTTCAGTGATCAGAATGAGGATGGATCATTACGATTTTCCGGACTTGCTTTCAATGTGATTCTGGCAGCCTTAGAGGCATCGCAGGTACCAGAAGCAAGAGACAAAATAATCTCAACAAGCTGGACCAACAGCATAAATCTAAGGACAAATGCACCCAGGAGATAACACACTTCTAAGTGGGTTCAAAAGCTAATTACTCAATCCAGAAATGTAGGTATCTTACCCAAGGGTGTGATTCAAAGGAACTAAGGGTTAGGCTAACTCTAAGTACATTGTCAGCCAAAGAGTTGACAAAGCACTGAAAATGAATGCTGACACTGTATTAATGTAAGCAGGGTGTCCAGAACCAGGCAGCAGATGGCCTTGATCTTGAAGCAGCAATCAGTCCCATAGCTCCAGAGAGCACTGTGGTGCTCTGGATATGCCCTCTGTAGGAGTGAATCAAGTGAAGTCTTCCCAGAAGAAAGCAAGAAGCTCACACTGCAGGACCAGAAAGCTGGAATAAGCAAAAGGACCCTTGTGTGTATGGTGGCAAAGGGTTCCCCTCCCTCATCACAAGAGAAAGAGAAGAAAACAAAACAGCAATATTAGTTTTTATTATCATCCAGATTGGCAAGTCAGCACAATGACCAAGTTAGTGGTGGGATCCTGATGCCTTGCTGAGGAAGACTAAGTCCAAATCATAGTTTGACCTCTACAGCAGGTCACCTTAAATACCTACTCCTCAATCTATGTCAATTATTATGAATTTTGTTTTTATTTTTGTTTTTGAGAAATCTGACTCTGTAGTGCAAGGTGGCCCCCAACTCACGGCAATCCTCTTCCCTCAGTGTCCTAAGTGCTGGGATTATAGCTATAAACCACTATTCCTGGGTTATTATAAACTTTTATTATGAGTTATAATATATGAATTATTTTTATTAAAAATGTAGTTAAAAGTCTATGATTGTGATCTGAAAATAAATGTAGGTTTGGCTTTTTTCCTGGTGACCTACATCATTAATCATACCAGCAAAAAATGTCAAGGTACAAAAATAAAATAAGAATTAAATTACAACACAAAAAATAGTGGATTGATGCTTTAAAATTTCACCAACATATAGTGACACATCTACATCATAGTCATCACAGGACTGAACAGTAACCCTGAAGGTTTTGTTAAACCTTAGCTTCTGAAAAACTTTAAGCTTTCAAAGTGACAGTTCAATTACCACAATGAAGAACATAATTGAAGTCCCATTCATATTTTCAGTCATGTTCCTGTGCCAATTTCTCTTAACTCCATTAATCCCTTTTAAAACGCAGACATGGGTAGCACATGGAGTCTGGAGACAAACCACCTGCAGAGTGAACCCCTGGAAGCTCTCATTTATAGGATCTTGTTTGTCTTTTTCTCCATGAAAATGGATCCATACCTAGAGGGGCCTTATAACCATGAGGTCACTAAGTTAACCTCCGCAGAGACAGAAGGCAGTGCATATGTGTCTAACATTATAACCCACATCAACTGTAGCAAGAGCTCAGAATGTAGATACATTAATTATTTTTCTCACTGCTATGAGAAAATATCTGACAAAATCAACTTAAGGAAGGAAGAATTTGCTTTGAATCATGGTTTGAGGGTAGAGTCCATTGTGTGTGTGTGTGTGTGTGTGTGTGTGTGTGTGTGTGTGTATCTGTGTGTATGGGGGGTGGGCACAAGAGGAGATCAAGCTGTGGTTTCAGTAAGTTATGCATCTTCTCCCATTGTGTCCAGACTCCAGAAGTAGAGATGAATACTGGGCTCAGTTCACTTTCTCCTTCTCACTTATTCTGGTATCTCAGTCTATGGAATGTACCACCCACAGGCAGGCTGGTCTTCCCATCTCAGGAAAACCTCTCTGGTAACACCTCACAGATATGCCCAGGGGTTTGTTTCTTAGCTAACCCTAAATTCTGTCAGGTAGACAAGATCAACCACTCCAACTTGACACACAAAACATCACTTGTACTTCATAACATCCCCACTGATCCCTAAAGTCTAATGTTCATCTTGTAAAGCAAAATTTAGTTCATCTTCTGAAAACCAAGAGTCTTCACAATTCCAAAGTGTTCAAAAGAATATGGGCAAGGTCTCTTCCAAGACTCAGGCAATTTCTTGACTGTAGGACTGTGTAAAATCAAAAGTACAAGTTGTAAGCTTCTAACATACAATTTCATAAACAATCCCATTACAAAAGGAAGGGATGGGACCATAGCAAATAAATACAACACCAAAACCAAGGCCAGAAGAGAAAGCAAATTTTGCATCTCTCTGTATGGAATCTGGAATTCATGATAGAATCATCTGAGTTCCAAAAGCCTTGAGAAGTTCTTGACCTCCATTTGTGCCATCTATATATAGCATGCATGCCCTCTGTGTGGGACTGGCTCCATTCTTACCTTGGCAGATGTCTCCTGTATCCAGTATCTCCAATGTTCTTGGGTTTCCATTGCAGCCAGGATTTACCTTCATAGCTTCATGCAATAGACTCCTGGGGCCTTGCAAAAAATAAAGCACTGCTACATATTGCCCAGTCTTTATGGTTTGAAGAAATCTTGGCACAATTCTCCAGGACCCATAACTCTTTTTCATGTCTATAAAACCAGCACCATGTGAATGACACTGTCAAGCTTTACTGCCAGCTTGAGATGTGTTTTGTTACATTCAGGTATGACTATAATGGAATCTGTACATTGTGATAGTTGAATGTGTAAAAATGGCTTCCCTAAACAGTTATTTCAAACAGTGTATCCCATCAGTGGCATTCTTAGTTCAGGCTCTCTCTTTTTGAATAAAATTGCATTTTTTCAATCTGGAGCCTTTGATGGATGGGGTCTTGTCCCCAGAATACCTTTTCTATAGTCCCGGTATAGCCCACAAGATCTCTTTATAATAATGTTAATCTTTTAAACAATTATAGCCACTTTCTCCACAACAACCCAATATGAAACTTTAAATGTCTTTTTGTTCATTTTTCATATCTTTCCAGGGTACTTCTTGCTACTGTTCATACTGTAGACCTGGATGAGATCATCAAGCAGTAACCATATCACAGCCTAAATGTTATCTTCCCTTGGAATTTCCACCTCTGAACAAATCACTCCACTACTTTTGAATTCAACTTAAGGACATGGACAAGATGAACAAGATTCTTTGTCAGAACATGACATAAATGTCTTATAGCCCAGTGTCCAGAAGAGTCTGTGCTCCACTTCGAAATGTCACAAGCTGAGCCTTCACTGTTCACATTTCTCTTGGCATTTGCTCTTCTAAACTCCCAGCAAAGGGACCATTCAGCTCTGCTTACAGCATTCTGAAGCTTCTCTAACCCACTGCTTCAAACTCTCCCATATTGATCCTGTATTAGTCCTAGGGGTCTAAGAATTACATGGTGAGGTTTATCACAGCAACAGCCCCACGCTTCTGAATCTAATTTCTGTATCAGCTCCTTGTCTGGTTGCTGTGACAAAACATTTAGGGACAGCAATTTAATGAGAGCACTGGATTGGTTTAAGTTTTGTTTTGTGGCTTATGGTTTAAGCATACAATCTATTGTGATAGGGAAAGCAAGGTGACAAGGACAGCTCTCAGCTGTAGCAACCTGAGCATGAGTTGACTGGTCACATTGGGTCTGCAGTCAAGGAGCTGTGATGGACAAATGCTATAAATAGCTGGCTTCTCCCTCCTTTCCTTTTCATTCAGCCCCAGAATCCAGCCGGTGAAAATGTACCACCCTGCTCAAAGTGGGGCCTCCCTTCCCAGCTAAATTTATCTAGAAATACCCTCAAGGCAAGCCCAGAGGGGTGTCTTCTGGGTGATTCTCAATCCTGCTAACTTGACAGTCAAGATTAGCCATCACAACTGAATGCTTTAAGATCTGGAGGAGGAAGAAAGCTTTCATCAATGAATGTAGAATTTCTAGGTCAGGGTGTCAATAAGAAGCCCACCAATTTTGCTGTATTTTTAAATTGAATTTCTATTTTTTTCTTGCAGTGTGAGGAATAAAACCCAAGACTTTGAGAAGCTAGGGTAGCATTCTACCACTGAGATACATTCCCAGTCATAGGACTATAGGACTAATGTTATTCTTAAGTTTTGAGCAGGTGATATGATGTCTCTGTTGCTTATATGGGAGCGAGGAAGGGGGGACAGAGTCCATCAGCCACTCCTCCATGGAAATGCCCCTGGAAGGGAGCAGCACTTGAGACACTCCATACTCTTTGAAAGAAAAAATGACATTATCAAATGTACTTCCATCTTCATTCAGCAGTTTCATTTCTGAGAATCTGTAGCCCAGATAGCCCGTCATAGGTAGGACATAACTCGCACATACAGAAAACTACTCACTGCAACTCTACAGTTGTAATGTCAAAGGACTAGAAAAGACTCAAAAACTCAACAAAAAGAAACAGGTTAAATTTTTTTCCTGAAACACTGTTGCACAAAGATTTTATGGAATCCTCTGTCATCAGGGAAGGAAAATAAATGTCTCTTCTTCTGGACAATAAGTACAGAACACATAAATAGATCCCTCTGCCCTAGTTTGCTTTTGGTTGCTGTGATCAAAAAACATGACCAAAATGCAACTCAGGGAGGGAAAGTTTATTTCATCTTTTACTTCCTTGTCACAGTCCATTATTGAGATAAGCCTGGTCAAGGACTGGAGGCAGGAACCTGGAGTTAGGAACTGAAGCAGGAACTATGAAGAAATATTGCTTACTGGCTTGCTCCCCATGGCTTGCTTTCTTAGACAACTCAGGACCACCTGCTCATGGGAGGCACCTCTCACAGTGGGCTGGCCTTCCCACATCAGTCATTAATAAAGAAAATGCCCTCACAGTCTTGCCTACGAGCCAATCTGATAGAGACAATTTCTTAACTGAGGGTCCCTCTTTCCAAATAGCTCAGTTCATGTTAAATCAGACAACGAACAAACCAACAAAAATATAGCACATTGACCTTTCATATATAAAAGGGAAACTGAACTTAAATTTATATTCAGCTGTGCTTGTGCTGTGGAGATATACACACTAAATTAATGAAAAGGGTTGTGGGAGTAGGGGGATATAGTGACTGATAGATAGAAGGCTACCTTAAAAAACCTCTAAGGCTACTTTTGTTTTGAATAAATGATATTTGAAGCGAACACAGAAATGAGAGCAGTAAGGCTCTTCATTCTAATGAGAATGTTGATCTATTACAAACTGGCAGGTTCATTTTGAAACTGTTGATCATTTTCCCCAAATCACTGATCTTCTCTACCATTGGTGCTCTAATGGAGTCACTTGCCAAGATTCTGATACCTCATTTGTTATCTCCAGAAATCTCCTTTAAAGGATGCTTTCTGTATCTTATATTTTTGGTTGTGAGCCTAGCCTTTAACAGTGGAGCCTTCTCTCTAGTCTCGTTTCTGTATCTTAAGCAAAGAGCCCACTTATATTCATGAGGAAACAAACACCCATGTGGACAGGATATGGTCCTTCCCCGTGCCTGCTGCCTTCACTTGCCTTATGTTAGGGTCCAAGAGAAGCCCCCAAGAAAAGATGAACAGTCATGTATTCAATAAACAGGAGAACTTCATTAACTTCAACATGTTGGGGTGGTACATGGATACCCCAAAAGAAGCCAATAGGTTTCTTTTAAACCAGATTAGGGATATTCCAGGGAGGAGAGATTAGTCTGGGGACTGACTGGCGGCTTTAAACAGTCTAAGGGTGACTATAAGTTTGGTTGGCAGCTCAATGGTTAGGGGCACAGGCTGGAAGAAGTTACCTATAGTTCGCTGAAGCTTGCATAAGGTTGTGAGGTGCCCTCTGACTGGTTACCTCTGGGCTGCAGCTTTCCCAAGAACTGCTTGCTCAGTTAAGGTGGGTTCCAGTAAACTGAAACAAGGTCGTTAGAATCCTGTCATAACTCTGGTCTGGATCCCTGGCCCTCTCACCTTCCCACTTCCCTTCACAGCCTCTGAAGGTCATGCAAATAAGATGCAGTTAATCTCAGTTGGGATACCTAAGGGACAGCAGTAATGGAAACATCAATGCAACTGAGTTGTACAGCTCAATTAATGATCAATAGATTGCAGGCCACACCCGACTGAATAGAATAGTGATTACAGTACCACGAGAAGCAATTTTCCATGCCACTGAGTGGAGACTAAGTTTTCAAAGACTTTTCATATACTTTCAACATATGCGGAGTCCATTGAAACTAATTTTCAGGGAATCACTGAGACATTTCCAAGCTCATGAAAGGAAAGTTAAACTAATTTGTCTGAAAGACAAAAAGAATGTGTCGTGTTCCTGGTTGCAAATATTTAGCCAAAAGACAAAGTATCCATGCAGCAAAACAACTCTGAGCCAAAATATGCCTAGGAATTGGGGGGTAAAGGTGGAGTAGTTTCTACTACCCAGCTGGGCTCAGAAGGGAGATGATTAAAATGTTCTAAATGAATGTAGGGATAATTACCTGTGACTGTGCTACAAACTCTTGAACTTTAAATATATACATTATATGGCATATGAATTTAATTTCAGAAAACTGTTAGCCTCAAAGGTAAATGATACAAAATATCACTTTATATTTTATACCATAATATAAAGGTAAAACAAGAATAATATGAAAAACTGCTTTTGTAAAGATTGTATTTAGTACCTTAAGGGGAAGATGGATTTATTTTAACTTACAGTTTGAGAGGATGCAGTCCATCCTGGCAGGAGAGGCCTAGAGTGACTTCAGCTGTGACAGCAGAGGCATAAGGCTGTTTGCTCACATGTGGGCAGACCAGGAGGCTGAGATTGGACAGCAAGCAGAATCAGGCTATAAACTTTAAGGCCCACCCCTCAGTGACTTACTTCCTCCAGTGAGCTTCTAACTATTAAAGGATTCACAACCTTCCAAAATAGATACACCGTCTAGGGACCTGTGAGAGATGTTTCATTCAAACTTTAACAGTAAAGGTGATCAATGGAAGTGGGTGTGGGCAAGAACTCAAATCTTGTGGCCTCTGATCCTCCCTCTTCACTCATTGGCATTGAAAATTGCTTTTCACTGTACTGGAACCATTATTCTCTTCAGTCCCGTATAGATGCCATCATCTGTTATAGATCATTATGGTGGATATGCGCCTGTGAGTGAGGGAATTAATGGAGGCCAGAGGCACTCAGTTTCCGAGGACCTAGAATTATAGGTGGTTGTGAGCTGCCCAGCACACGTCCTGGGAGTTGTAGTCTACTCTGTAAGAGCAGTTTATATGCTCTTCATGCTAAACTATTTCTCCAGCCCCATTCACTCTTAACACATGGCATCACTCCTTTGCTACTGCACAGAGAAAATGGAACCACAGAAAGAATACGCCTAAAGGTCTTGACCCCAAATGCTTGACCATTCCATGCTCAGTACCCACCATGTCTCTCTACCTACTTGGCAATGATAGACAGACCTCTCCTGTAGTCACTTCTTCTCTGTGTTTCTTAGAATGTTTCCTGTCTCAGGAAGCTGCCCCCATTGAGTTTCTTTACTTCCCCATGCACTGCAAGATCTCCCTTCTGTTCTGACTTCATTTAAACATGCTCAAACTGTCATTCTGGATGAATTTTTCTAGTTCCAGTCATTCACTTACACATTTCATTATGCCATTTTTTAAACATTTGAGTAATAGTCCATTGTGTAAATATCCCACATCTTCTCTATCCACTCTTCTGTTGAGGGACATCTAGCTTCTGTCCAGGTTTTGGCTATTATGAATAAAGCTGCTGTGAACATAGTTGAGCAAGTGTCCTTGTTGTAGGATTGAGTATCCTTTAGTTACATGCTCAAGAGTGGTATAACTAAATCTTGAGGTATATAGAAACAAAACTTTTTGAGGAACCACTATATTGATTTTCATAATGACTGTACAAGTTTGCACTCCTACCAGTAATAGGGAGGTGTTCCTATTATTCTACATCTTCACCAGAATAATGTGTCACTTTAGTTATTGATTATAGCCATTTTGACAGATTATGATGGAATCTCAATGTAGTTTTGATTTGCCTTTTCCTGATGGCTAAGGATGTTGAACTTTTCGTTAAGTGTTTCTTGGCCATTTGAGTTTCCTCTGTGGGGAATTCTGTTTATATATTATTCCTTTATTGCATCCACTGCAAACATGTTTTCCAGTGGGGATGTAAAGTGAGACAGTGAATGCTTTGGAGCTGTGTGTATTGTGTTCTTTCATTTATTGTCCCCATGATGCACATCGCTGTTAGCCTTATGCAGTTGTTGCCAGGCCCTGCTGGGAGCAGTACCTGCAGGTCAGCATCATATAAGTCACACACACACATGACACAGGGCATTCTTTCCTATAAGCATCATTAAAAAAAATAGTTTTAACATGCGAATACTTCATCCACTTGGAATGTGTGTGTGTTACTTTATTTGTTTGAAATTAATTTTATTTTATTCATTGCTGGGAAATGCCATCACTATCAAATATTAATTTTGTTAAAACATTTAGTGTCTTCTCCATCTCTCTGCCTGCTACTGAACCTCAACCAACCATTTTAATTGTTATAGGTTTCAGTCAATACTGAAATCATTTTGCCATCATTGTTTTTATTTCCTTAAAAATATCTTGACTCTTTTTGTACATCTATTATTTCAAGTGCATTTAGGGTCTGAAAATAATTTTGTTTTTTTTTTGTTTAGAGTCACATTTTAATTACAAATTAGTTTGGGAAGAACTCATATCTTGGTAATTACTGTCATTGCCTAGATGTATCTCTTCAATTACTTCAACCAGGTTTTTATGTGGTTTGGGAAATTGAAAAGGAGCATTTATGAAAATAAAGATACAAACCCTTGTTAAGTCTCCTCTCTGCATTCTGTAAATTGTATTACTATTGCTTGTGGAGTCTGCTGTATTTTCTATTTGCCTACTGCAAGAAAATATGAATTTTAATATCTGCATAGGTTTTTCTTGTTCTTTCTCATGGTTATGCATCCAGTTTTTTTCTTGGCTGAGTGGTGGAACCCTCCAAGAACCAGAATACATTGATAAAGGCCACCCTTTTGTTTCTGACTCTAAGAGAAAACCATTGCACACTGGCTTACTGTTTTGAGAGTTACTCCCCACCATGTTGAAACAGGCTTTTTAAAAATTCTTTTAAATTTTCTGTTTGTTTGCTTGCATGCTTGTGTATGCACTATGTGTGTGCCTGTTGCCCTCAGAGGTGAGAAGAGAGCATTGGACCCCCTAAAACTGTAATTACAGATGATTGTGAGTGGGCATGTGTAGGAGGAAGCCTGTATGCCGCCATTAACCATGTGACTTACTAGAGGTACATACAGATGAAGTAATAAAAGAGCAGTTTACCACACCGCTAACCACACCCACTTTAGGCATGACTAAAGACGTATACAGACGGACATAAAGACGTATACATACATAGGCAGTGAACTACGTCACTAGCCAGGCCCACTTTTGGGCATGGATAGGGGGCGTTACGGGAGAAGGCATAAAAGATTGAACAGCGGAAGTCTTGGTCTTTTTTTCTGGATTTCAGCTTCCAGTTTGGCAGCGGAAAACTACTGGGCTCATCTGGGTTACTTGTTTGGTATCTTGTGAGTAATTTCTACAATAAATACTTAGTGTTACTTTCAGTAAGTGTGCCGTTTATCGTTACAGCATCAGTTTGGTGTCAGGACTGGGATTGTAAGGTATACCAGTTACATGTTTTATATTATAATATTTGAAAAATTGGAACAATTTACTAGAGACATATGCTGGAGCATTGTCAGTTTTTATTGCTTTAGGTATACCCATAACAGCCATCACCTCTAAGAGGTGTGTAATAACAGAGTCAGCTTTTTCAGAGCTGAGGGTAGTAGCCCATTGGAAGCCTGAGAACGTGTCTATGGTATGGTGTACATATTTCAAACTGCCAAATTCTGGGAAGTGAAATACATCCATTTGCAAAAGTTCATTTCTGTGAATACCTTTAGGAGAAACTCATGTGATTCGCTTAAGAGTCTTCCTGACTCAGCATAAGCCAAAAAAAAAAAACCAAACAACAACAACAACAACAAAAAACAACAAGGTTCTTTTAAGAAGCTCTGCTAACAATTGAAAGGTGTGTAAGCACAGCTGGAAGTGGCAGTGACCACATCTCCAAGCCGGCAGCTGGAGTCACGCTTACGCCCACCATCTTGGAAAAATGGCAGTTTAAAACAGCCACGGTTTTAACAGATAAGACACATGGCCAGAAAAACATAAAGATTTATAGTAAAGTCAGACTTGTATGAAGAAAAACCTCTAAAGGTTTACAGTTTGTTTAAAAATATACCTAAGATTGAGAGAAAAAGAAACAGCCCGGCTGTGGTGGCTCACGCCAGTAGGATTTGCTGCAGAGGCAGAGGCAGGCAGATTTCCAAAGAGAAACCCTGTCTCAAAGAAAAATAAATAAAAGTAAAAGAAATAGAGTAATAATAGATAAATAAATAAGCCATGTAAAGATGAAAAATACACAGAGAGTCTGGATACTGTATGCTATTGTGTTTTTCAGTTTTTTAATTGCTCAGGAAGGAACAACTGCTAAAGTACACTTGATTATAAATGCTGCTGAATTAATTCAACTTATATCTTTTGAAAATGCCTTGACTTCATGTAGGCTTCAACGGACGCTGTAACGATACGCGACACACAATTACTGAAAGTAAAGCTAAGTATTTAATGTAGAAATACTCACAAGATACCAAACAAGTAACCCAGACGATACAAGCCGTTTCCTCTGCCGAGCCGGAAGCCGAACTCCAGGAAAAGAGAGCGAGACTTCCTGTGTGCTGTCTTTTATACCTTCCCCCGTAACGTCCCCTAGCCATGCCCAAAAGTGGGCCTGGCTAGTGACGTAGTTCCGCCTACGTACGTATACGTCTTTACATCCAGCCGTATACGTCTTTAGTCCTGCCTAAAGTGGGTGTGGTTAGCGGTGTGGTAAACCGCCCTTTTATTACCTCATCTGTATGCGCCTCTAATAAGTCACATGTTTAATGGCGGCATCAGACTTCCTCCTACAACTTCAAAATTTAAGTATAAGGATATGCTACTTGGAAAAGGAGTTTTTATTTATGTTTCTACAGAAAATGAAAAGCTGAGGATGATTCCTTCCAGGCTTCTGTGGTTTGACGAACCAAGACCCCCGGAAGTAGTGGACCAGGTGTTCCAACAACTGAAACAGCTAAGATGATGCAGCTTTACAGGCCCTGAAAATAAGGACTTATACAGGTTTCTGAGTTTTGTCATGATCCCCATGGTATAAACAGCGCCCCCTTCCACCACGAAGCAGTTTGGAATGAGCGACGTCCTAATTCCCATCTTGTTTATAAACCTTTGTTTTCATTTAAATGGGATTGTTTATAATGGTTAATGATCACAACCAATCTCCTTTTAATGGTAAAAAGGGGAATTATGGTATGGGTATGGTTTTTCATTTATTGATACGAATTCAAGGTCAATTTTGTGATATGTATATTTCTCCTCTTGATTAAGTATTGTGCTTATACTGATCTTTTAAAATGAAATGCATAATTGAATACAGACTATAGATAGTTACTTATAATAGAATTTATAGTTAGGTAAGTTAGGTTTTCTAGATATACAGAAATATATTTGAGATAAATAGTCTTCAAACCTTTCAAAGACCTTCAGAAAATGGCATTTAAAATGGTTTAGGGTTTTTCTTGACAATGAGAAATGTCTGCTCCTGGCAGCACCAATTATGTCTGAGAGGAAGATGGGCATCGAAGAAACTCGTTATGGAGTTTGTTTTCAACATGGCAAGATTAGCTAGCCATTTGGGCAAGAAACTGCTCTTGCCTAGACTGCTTGACTGTTGCTGTATAAACTGGACATGCAGGACCCACAGGAAAGTGACTGCTGAACTCATTCTTACAGGGTTCCTGCTTCATGGAAGAGTCTACGAGACTTTCTGCAGGACAAAGAGAAATGACTGACAGACTGCCAACGCAGATGGACAGTTTGAAATTTCCTGCTTTGCTGAGAAATCTTCTGAACACATTGTGGCCTATGGGCTGAAGATGGATGCCCCAACGTTACAGAGGAACTTTGGGTGACTGTCCAGGTAGCAAGATGTCTCTGTCAATCCTAGTGTTTATATGTGGGCACACCAGACCTTGAACAGAGACCCACTTCCCCTTCGGCCTGGGAGTAGGCAGCTGTGTAAGACAATGTTTACTGAAAACATGTTTACTGAAAACAATTCAGTGCCATAAAGCTCTTGGTAGGGCTCTGATAAGGGCTCGCTCACTGAAACACCATGACTTTGATTCCCCCCTATGGCTAGATGCTTTTTCCTGCTCCCTGCTGTTTCTCCCCGATTCTGGTGCCCGGAGATTTAACCACCAGCCAGGAGGGTGAGAAGTCTATGAGAGCTGTGAGAGGTGTGTGAGAGCTCGGTTTGAGAATTGTGTGTGTATGGATGACAGAAGTCTTTAAAAAAAGGGAAGCGTTTTTTCTTGGGGAGTTCTCCTAAGCCGACTTGGGCTTTTCTTAATGCAACCAACCGGTCTCTGTGTCATCTATCCCGACCACCTCGCTACATTCTCGGATGCAGGCTGCTCAACAGGTGCAACATTTATATATTATCCTTCTGTGGTCTTTGATGGAGTTGAAGACAGATAGTTATAATTATAGTTTTCCTAAAAATATTGTAACTATGTTCTTACTTGATAACTGTTCTTTCATATATAATTTGACTATGTTAAAGTTAAGACCTTTCTTTTTGTTTAAACAGAAAAGAGGAGATGTTGGGGGGGAAGTCCTGTGCATTTGTCAATAAAGCACTGCTGGCCAATAGGAATCTAGATAGGTGGGACTAGGAGTCCAGGAGGACTCTGGGAAGGAGAAACACAGAGAGTCAAGATGTAATGCCATGGGGTAGGAAGCCTGGAAACTTCTCCGGTAAGAGATATACTTAGATTAACAATTATGGGGTAATTACTTAAGTCAGAACTAGCCAGTAGGAAACAAGCAAGGCCACCAGCTTCATAATTAATATAGCCTCCTGTGTGTTTATTTAGAACTGATGCGGCTCTAGAACCAGGCTGGCGGGAAGGCTTCTCTCAAGGAAAAGGTTTCTCTTTATAAATATTTCTTTGTTAACATTAATGTTTTAGTTTTCTAGAGAAGGGATTTCCTGACAGCAATCTTCAACTGCTTCAGAAAGAGAATGAGGATCCACTTCCTTGACTTCACCTGATTCGACTGGAGGCATCTGAACTGCCCCACATCATTGACTCTACCTGACAAGCACTATCCTGAAACTGGCTTGAAACTACATCACTCTACACAACTCCGGACCAAGAAACTGAAACAGCACATCTTCTACAATCTGGCCAGAGCTTCAGATGAGAGCTTCAATCAACACTAGAACCCCAGTCAGGAACTTCAATCAAGCATCTCCTGCCATACAGAGACTGTCTGATCTACTGAGATTTTGTTACACTAACATTTTTCTTCTCACAGGTCCCCATGAGATTATCATCGTCCCATCTCAGCAGGAAGTAGTTTTGAGAATTCCATGCCCCCTCTCCCTACTATTGATATTATAGGATAGTTTATACCTGTTAGTGTTAGTTTTCAATTTAGAGTTGGGATTGGAAGGAGGTGTTCAGATTTGGGTGTTTCTTTCAGATAAGTTTAGGTTTAGATAGAATAGATGTGTGATACATTTTGTTCATTGATACAAGTTAAATATCCTTTTTAGACTAAAAGGGGAATTGTAGGAGGAAGCCTGTATGCCGCCATTAACCATGTGACTTACTAGAGGCACATACAGATGAGGTAATAAAAGAGCAGTTTACCACACCGCTAACCACACCCACTTTAGGCATGACTAAAGACGTATACAGACGGACATAAAGACGTATACATACATAGGCAGTGAACTACGTCACTAGCCAGGCCTACTTTTGGGCATGGTTAGGGGGGCGTTACGGGAGAAGGCATAAAAGATTGAACAGCGGAAGTCTTGGTCTTTTTTTTCCAGATTTGGCTTCCAGTTCAGCAGCGGAAAACTTCTGGGCTCATCTGGGTTACTTGTTTGGTATCTTGTGAGTAAGTGTGCCATTTATCATTACAGCATCAGGCATGTGAGTGCTTACAACCAAGTCCAGGCCCTCTTAAAGTGCCCTTAACCACTGAACCATATGTCTAGGCCCTGATGCAACACCAATTTGTCTACCTCTGGCCGGTTCCCAGAATGGAGACAACACAAAATGAACCCTGAGTGCAGAGTGCAGAGGCCAGTCCAGACTTCAGATGCAGTCCTTGCGCTGTCCATGCTTGCAGTTCGCTGTTCCATATCAGGTCACTGACGACACTAGATGTGCAAATACGATACAAACTACGCAAGGACACAGGTCACCAGTGGGCTCATCATCTGTGAACTAGGCAAAGCCCAATTTTCCAGCCAGTTGGGCAGTGGCTGTACTCTGTCACATGGACACAAACAGTGGAGGGGGGTGGGAGCTTGACCCTTTGGGAGGCTCCCAGACTTTGAAAAGAAAGCCTGGATGTGTGGCTCCAAATTCTGCTCCATACTTGTATAACTGGTTGTCTCCACACTTGCCTTATGCATTTTATAATGGCTCAACTGATGTCTTTAAACCCAAGGACATGTCCAGATGCCCTTCAGTTTAGCTGGGATTATGCTCTCATAAACCCATCTTAACTTGAAAAGTTAAGTGGAAAGAGCAGTCAGTACACTAATCCCCCTCACTTCAAAGATGGGCATATGCTGTGGAGACCATTCATATGACATGATTTGCTGGGAGCTATAGCTTCTGGCACTGCTCAGCATCTATCTAGGCAAAGGAAAAATTAAAACCGGGGTTTTTTTTGTGCAGCCTTTGTGCCACTTTCACAAGATCATAACATCAAAAGTTGAAAGTCCAGGTCTCCTATGAACTGTCTCCAGTCTGTCATCTCACATCTCTTCTCTCCAAGCCATTCTGATTGCTGCAAAAGAGAAGCTGATTAGTATATATCCATTTAGCAGAATAATAGTACTAAGTTCTCTCCTAGGGGCTACGATTTGGCCAGTCACAGGTCTTTTCCTTAGCTAACAGCACTAAGCACAGGGGTCCGTTTTTATCTAGCAGGCTTCAAATCCAATCAGGAAATGGATGGTAACTCCCATAGCATTCCTGCCGCTGTGACACCAGTGGTCCTATATTCCAGCATTTTATAAAACATGGGCTCTGGGGATCAAAGTCAGGTCCCTGATCTTGTGAAGCAAACACTTTACTAACTGAAGCAGACAGTGCCATGCCTGCTTTTTCAACCATGTCTTGATTGACATCCAAATAGCCTCACAGTCAGCATATTTCAGTTCCCCACTAGGCTCTTCCAGGTCTCCCAGTCTCTCAAGGTCTATTATAAATGGAAGAATTGTCAACTTCAGGAGAAAGTGCTTCCACATCCTTAGAAGTGTCTTCAATAGTTTTTTGGCCATACCTTATTTACTTTTCACACTCTGTTTTGTTAATGCTGGGGTTCTTTGCAAAGTTTAACAACAGGAATTCTCTCCATCCAGTAGTTTTTGTACCATCTCTAGTCCTGTGTCTACTACTGTATTACATTGGTAGGTACCAAGACAGCATAAGATTCACCCCTCAGATGTCCATTTGAGCCAGTCAGGCAGGGGTTGTTCCTGTCTTCCTGAATGTGTCTGCTCAGGAATTTGTCACACTCTTTGTAAGGGGGAAGCTGCCTCAAGTCCCCAGCTGGCTCAGAGGCACAGCAAACTACCATCATGGTACATGTGACCCATCCCAGCACAGGACTGCTCTGCCTAGGCCAGGAAGCTATCAGTACAAAGGAGTTCCTGCATTGCATAGCTGAGATCATTAATTGTTCCCCGGCATTGTTTTCCATGGAATAGTTATCTACTGCTCCTCAAAACTTAGTGGCCTGTGGCAAGGATCTAAATATTTCTCACACTCTCAGGAGCTGCCTGGGCTCAGCTGCGCTGCTCTTCAGCTCATTGTGGCATCAGTAGCTGCATTCATCTGGTTGTTTGATCTCTCCCTTAGCTGGGGTGGCCAGCATAAGTCAGACCCTCTTCTACCCAGCCTGTCTACAGGAAGTCATCATACTGCAGTCTCATCTGAGCTTCTTTGTATGGAGTCTAAGTCTCAAAACCAATGGCAGGGGTTCTTAAGGATAAAACCCAGAAATAGCACCCAAATTTACTTGTTAAAATGTGTCACCAGCAAGGATCAACACGGCATGTTGACAGGAGCCTTGCCATCATGGTGGCTCCATGAGCTAAGTCACAGTAAAAGCCTAATCTCTTTCAAAAAGCAAAATACCCCTACCAATTCATATCGCTATAAGCAATTTTGCTAATGTGCTGACTGTAGACATGTATTTTGTATAGAAATCCTTCCTATTTGAATTTCCATTTTCCTGCGGTGCTAGAAAAGATGTATTTCCACAAATTCATGCATTATGCATTTTTACTTTACCTATATATTTACATTTGTAAGTGGGCTGATCCCTTGTGGAAAGAGACACATTTTAAAATAGATTCAGGAGAAGTCATTTATAAAAACTGTGACACTCATGCTGCAATAAAAAGCACCATCACTTACCCCATTCCTTGACAAACAGAAGACCTGGGATGAGCTGTTCTCAAATTTTCTCTTAAGACCTCAACACTTCATACCCTATACAGCCTGCTTGACTTCTTTTATGGTGGTTAAAAAATAAAATGATACAACTTCTCATCCTTACCATTTATAAGCAGATATTCCTGTAGTGTTAGGTACAGTTGTGTCATTGTACAATACATCTCCAGAATGCCTTTGTGTTGTAAAACTGAATCTCTGCACCCCTTAACATCAGCAACAAAACCCTCATCCCTATCCCTCACTTCTACCATGAGTCTCTGAACTTGGTGATTCCAGGGACCTCACATGAGTTGTATTTATTCACAGTAGTAACTCTTTGGTGAGTAGCTCACCATGTCTTTGTAGTTCACAGCTATTTTGTTGATGTCAGGGTTCAGACTTTCCTTCCTGTTGGGCTGAGTAATGCTTCCAGGTGAGGGGTGCTCCTTGGACTTGATACACCGTGATACTTGTTCACCCTCCCTGATGGATCCCAGTGCCATGCTCACTTTTGACTTCTGTGAATATGCGCCTGTACTCACTGGGGATACACATATCAGCCTGTTTGGTTTTGATGGGCTCTCACTGTTCTTTCTCTCTTCTCCTGAGTTTACCTTCTCACACACGCTGCATCAACACGTTATATTCATATATTCATTCCTGAGCACACTGACTGGGCTGTGATCATCAGCACATACATACCATGACGAGAAGGGCTAGCTTTGATCCTCCACTGGGAGATGAGTGATTTTTACCCTCCACACAGTAAACTCCTTATGAATAGACAGCAAGATCACACCTTGGTAGTCCTCCCGTGGGCTCTGTGAACTTAAAGTCAGGGTTCCATAGCAGCAGTTCAAATCCAGATGGCTGGAGTGCTGGGAATCTGTGCCACTGAGGCTTCTCGTGTGTTTCTAAATGATTCAGTGTCCTCTTGGAACACTTGAGGCAAGTAATCTCTGTTGTTTGTGCCTCTCTGTGGCTCAGATCATTACAGAGAACTCTGTTGCATGATACTCCATCAAACCTGAGTGAATAGAGGGAGAGTTGACTGGAGCTGATGCCCCTGTGATCAAAACCCAGGGTTAGTGGGAGCTGATAATTGCACCTATGATGCCAGGAATGGTGGATTCCAGGTAATCAAATAGGCATGGATCACACTGTAGACCAGAGGATGGTATAGCTCACTAAAAGTAATAATTGGGTAGGACGTCATGCTGTCAGCAAGACATGAAGATACAAAAATAAAATTTTAGAAGAAAGAGCTTCTGGCCTTATAAAGTTAGGTTTTATGGAGAGAAAAACCTATGTTAAAGAGTCTACAAAGCTGAACAATTGATTAGATTGCCATGGCTTTGGAGAGTTAGAATTCTACAGATCAAGAGCCAGTTTTCTTAGACCATTTGACAGCCACCTATCATTCACCTCTTTGTCTGACTAAACAATCCATCAACTATTAAAACCTTTGGAATGTGTTCTTGGCAAATCATTCACTTCTACAACCCAGAAGTTAATAATTTAATTAGGTAACAATTGAAATCTACAGCAGAGAGTTCTCAACTTTGCCGTAAACAACCTACCTATAGTCTCTAAGAACGCACTTGGTAAATGCCTCAATTATGAATTTCTTTGTTCTGTAACCAACACAATCTCACACTTTCATTTCTATGAAATGTTATTGAGAGAAGCTGAATTTGTGTTTCCAGGCTATGGTTATCAGCCACTCATTCATATTTGGTTTAGAATAAACCATCTCTTGTTCTCTTTGAAGAATTGTGCCTTTCATCAATGTTTTCAACTGACTGACAATTCTAGAGCTAATGCACACATAACTAAATACATACAAGGAGAGGGAAAGAGAGAGAGAGAGAGAGAGAGAGAGAGAGAGAGAGAGAGAGAGAGAGAGAGAGAGAATCCATATCAGGTGGTGAGGGTCTCAACGCCAGGCTCCTGCCAAAGCTGGGAACCCTAAGACAGTATGGCAGTCTTAGGACAGAGAAGAAGATAGATGAGAACATACAAGTCTTACAGGTATGGAGGCAGAGTGGTTGCATATAGTCTGGGAAAGGAGCAGAAGACAAGGATGGCAAGATCCAGCCAATGAGCCCCAGTGTAGAGCCCTAAGGTCTTGCTGAGATGTTGGTCGCCAATGGCAGACTCTGTGAAAGAAAAGAGAGATGTAAGGCTGAGTAGAGAAGTCCCATCCAGCTGTGGGGAGACAGATGGAGGACAAGGACAAGCAAGGAGAGTGGGACCAAGGGGACCAGTTAGGTGCCTGAACTACAAATATCAAGAGAGATTCTAGCCTACTGGATAAGCTCTGATTCTCTTGAACTCTTGTTAGCTTTAAAAAGCAAAAACAAAACCACTTATTTATTTTCTTATTTTTAACTTTTCTTGTTTTTTCTATTTTTTACTAAAATAGAATTCTTTAAAACATATTTTAAGGTACAATATTTAAAGGAGAAAATATCCCTAAGATTCAGATAAGATAGAAATGAAAAATGTGTCCTCAACAGGCTGAAATGAAAGGCATTTCCTCAGGAGTCACAGTGGATGAAAGAAGTGCCTCCTTCCCAGAATTCTCCTCCCTTCACCCACCCACAGTGCGCACAGAGTGGAAGCTCCCGGCTATGAATGTGCCACAAAACGAATGACCATGTGAATGTCAACTCCTGTAGGCATGAGATGAGGATCTCGGGGACACTGTAGACGTCGCTATCTCATCTGCTCTCCAGAAGCAACACAACTGTGAGTGAGCAACCACCCAGCCACTGGAACCTCTCAGTCATATCCTACTCTATATCCTACTCCTGCCCCTGGCCAGCCAGACTCCGGGTAACAACGTAAACCTCCAGAATGTGCTTGTGTCGTGTTGCTCTGACACAGTCTCAGCACTTAACAAAGATGAAGAGGAGTGTGAGGAGAAACAAGACCAGAATACAGCTTCACTTTGCATCAGCTACAAATGTACTGAGTACTGGGATTGTTCAAAATGCAGAGTGAATTCTAATCCCATCTAATTACCATTGCAGCCTTATAAGGTTAGTGTATGACTGTCCCATTGAAATATCCGAAGCTCAGAACATTTAGTCATCTGTTTCAGGTCACATGGCTCAGAGTACAGAGCTGGTCTTGAACCCAAGCAGTTTGACTCCAGAGCCCTTGCTGTTCACCGGTGCACTTGCTGCTGTCCACAGGAACCAGCCTGCTGGAGAAAGCATGAGTGCTCCATGAGACACATGTGCTTTAAGATACAGGAGAAAACCTATAATCACAGCATGGGAAGGCAGAGGCAGGAGGAACAGGCAGTCAAGTCAAGGTCTGCCTTACCTACATAATGAGTTCAAAGCAAGCCTGAGCTACATGACATCCTGTCTCCAAAGAAAAATGGGGAGAGGTCCGGAATATTTCACCATAATATGATAATGGGAAAGTGTTTGCAAGTGCAAAACATTATTGTCTTTTTTTTTTTAATTTCGAGGTGAAGAAAGTTAGGGAAACCTGCAGCGGGCAGAGAAAGGTCTGAAATTAACACAAACTGTCCTAGCATAAGGTGAATCAACCATTCTTCCCACATGGAGGAATAAAGGACCGGGGCTGAGGGTAGAGATAAGGAATAAGATGAGGTCTTTTTCTCTGAGTTCTAGAAAATGTTCAGAATAATCCCAGAAGCAGAAATGAAAGGTTATGGGGCAAGAAACACCATTCAAAGAAAAATACAGCTGTCTGCACCAGAGAGAGAGAGAGAGAGAGGGAGAGGAGAGAGAGAGAGAAAAGACAACAGCAACACAAGTAGATTAGTGACCAATAGACATAATAGACATGTTCTACTAAAGAAAAAGGTAACACTTCAAACATCTAATTTGAGAGAATGCCAGAGGAGTTGGGATAAAACTGTTTACCAGTTCTATGTGAGAGCCAGAGCATCTGCCAACACTAGATGTGGGAGACAGTGGACCAGAGGGTCTTCTTAACAACAGCAAAACAAACCTCCCACGTGGAATAAAATTACCTGACGAATTCCTACATGCTAGCTCCTGAATATTTCATAGCATACTGCCCCCAAAACATTGTACTAGTCAATGTTCTCCTGAGAAACAGAAGCAACAGGAGAGATAGCTGATGTATGGGTGGGTGGAAGGATGGATAGACGACAGAGAATGTAATTTATTAGAAATCAGGTCATATAGTCATATAATTATGATACTGAGATTCCACACTTTTTGTCCTCTTGAAGTTAAAGACCCTTGAACGCTGATGACATAAGGCCCAAGTCCAAATGCCAGAGAACTGAATGAAGCAGAGTGAATTCTGAGACATCCAAGCTCAAGCCTCAGGCAGAAGAATCAGTCAAGTTCTCCCTTCCTCCCGCTTCTGTTCTGCCCAGGCCCTCAGCGGATGGGACAGTGGTACCTCCCACATAGAAAGAGCCATCTGCTTTATTCAGCCTGCATCCAGAATCACTGTCTCAACACTCCCAAACTTGATTAACCTGGGCATCTGGTGGACCACTCGGGTTGGCACATAAAACTACCACCACACAGTCACCTGGTAACACTCACGGGTCTGCAGTGGCTGCGTTTGGTAGATCAAGGTGTCAAGAACAGAGCTGCACTACTTCTTACAGTGGGTCTTCCGGCTCCACACGTCTCTCTTGACTTGCAGAGAGATGAGCAGAGGGGCAAGGGATATACTTGGGGCTTTGCAGGAGCAGGAGCAAAGAAGACCCAAGCCACAGTTAAAGCACGAAAACTCTTATATTTCATTCAAGCAAAGAGATACGAGTAAATAAAACAGCTTCTGAAGTACAAGAAAAAATGAGCAGCATGACAAATATTAGCAATATAACAAAGAACAATGAGAAAAATAAACAATCATAAAAGCTAGACTGCAAAGCCAAGTCAGCAAAAGTTCATAAAGACAAATAAGCAGAGATGGGATTTGAACTTAGGGAATCAGAGTTCATAGTCCAAACTTCCAAAATGCCACTCTTATAGCTTCAGACCTGCTGGCTGTCACATTCACATGTCAATTACTGTCACAGGAAGTCTGAATTGCTTCTCCCACGGGGTTATAAATAGCAGAAAAGCCAAGTCTGGTGTCACAAGCAAGAGACACACAAGAAATAAATGAGCCAGAGGTTTCTACAGAAAGGAGCAGTCAGAGTGTACCAGGAAAATGTGAACAGAATGTGGAGGCCCTACAAATACGAGGTCTGAATTCAAAAGGTGGAAGAAGAGATGGAGGCCTGAGACTCATGAAGGAAGCAGACTCCACAGAAATTCAAAAGGCCAAAGTGGAGAGGGGGGGAGAGCTGAGAAACCTGGGTAAGTAGCAGCCCTGTGAGGACCAGCCGTGGAGGAGAGGGTTAGATCCACCCATCTGTCAGCATTCATCCAAGAGTTCCCACTCTCCAGGCCAACAACCACCCAAATACACATAGAAGTGGGAGCTGAAGCCGGGCAGTGGTGGCGCGTGCCTTTAATCCCAGCATGCTGGAGGCAGAGGCAGGCGGATCTCTGTGAGTTTGAAGCCAGCCTGGTCTACAGAGCGAGTTCCAGGACAGCTAAGGCTATGCAAAGAAACCCTGTCTTGAAAAACCAAAAAAGAAAAAGGAGGAGGAGGAAGAGGGAAGGGAGAAAGAGAAAGAACGAAAGAAAGAAAGAATAAAAGAAAGAAAGAAAGAAGGAAAGAAGGAAAGAAAGAAGGAAAGAAAAAGGAAGGAAGGAGAAAAGAAGTGAAAGGCGACACAGTCTGCTATGGAGGGAGCTAAGTGCTGTGGAAGATTTGATTGGAGTGGGTGGAGACTTGTCCAGGATGTCAGCCCAGGTTTCCTGGGGAGGTAACATTTGAGCACAGAGCTGATGAAATTCTCTGGCACAGACCTTCCCTGATGACAGCAGCAGCAGCCCCAGTCCTTGTCCCAACGTTCTTCAACTTCCTGACCGGTTTTTTGTTTGTCTGTCTGTCTGGTTGGTTTGGTTTGTTGGACAGGGTTTCTATGTGTAGCCCTAGCTGTCCTGG